TCTGACAAACTATATCTAATCCATACTATTTTTTAAAAATTCTGTACTTACTGGAGAATTCTCTTGGTGCTTGTGATACTGAATATTGTAATGAAATACAAACATATACATGTAAGTTACATTCTGTAACCTAGGACATATGTCATTATGGGAGAGCTATTATGCTTGTTTGGCAAAACCTAATTTTATTGAGAGCCTAGCACTCACTAGATGCAGTTTTCTAAATGTTAATTTAAATGGAGTCCATGTGGTAACAGAATAATGCTGTGTTGTTCTTCAAAGGGAATTTTCTTTGGTAGGGCCGGTAGCTTCTAGAGGCTTTCTTACACTTCATTACACTTGTGCTGATGCTGCATCATTTAGAGAAATCTGGAAGAGACACTGTGTGGCTGGATTTCAGATATTCAAATCTTGGTAASAGACTACCATTTTATTTAATTCTGTATTTGTGTAGTATTTTTACTCCACAGTTCCTTAAAATTTTCTGTACAGTCTTCATATTGTTTCAACTTATGGTAAACAAACAAATCAAATCCTACAGAGACAATATAAGAAGCAAACAAAACAATAAATCTTGGGACAAATGATGACAGAAATACAAAATCAGGCTGAATTTATTTCTATTTTGTCCAGTGGTTGTAAATGGGAAATAGTCTTGATTTTATTTTTATAGACCTAATTCTTCTGAGAAGATTAACAATACTTTTGACATTCTGACTAATTGCAATTATAGTTTGGCCTCTCTATCCAGATAATGATGAGAATCTTGGAAGAACATGCACAGTTGGAAGTGCACACAAGGGCAACTTGTTTTGTAAGGACTTTGTGGTGCTGGAAAAAGGAATTTACTTGCATGGAGTTCAGGCTTTGCCATGCTGCTCCWGATGCAGAGCAAGTTACAGGAGTGAGGCACTCATGAATAGCAACTCTTTGTAGCTGACCRCCAGAGCAAGAGGTGTAGTTTCCCGTCTCTTTTGCAACAGTGTGTTCCATCACTCCCTTCAAAGTGCAAAGCTTTGTTTGTGAGGGGTTTTTCTGTGGTTTGTAGAATATAGAAGTGAACAAACAAAAGCAGAGTATGAGGAAGATGTAAGCCTGTTACTGAGTTARGGCTGTGATCTTGCTATGGGTATAGCTAGTGATTCATGTAGGAATGTATTTTATGATTTAAGTCAATATTAACAAACTAGCTGATCTGATATAAATTTTTCATTTACACATGGTTCATAGAGTGAAAATTTCACTGGTCCTGTAGAAAATACTTGCAATGTGTTTGTCTGAACGAGCAAACTTAGACAACACTGGCAATACTTAGACAACACTGATTTTTTATTTCCCCACCCTAGATTGCTTTTTGAGGTTGATGTGAAGAATGGCACATTGGAGGTGTGTTTATACACATCTGTAACCTTTTGTATAATCAAGTTTTGATTGGTTGGGGTATTTTTTTTTCCTTTTAGCCATGTTAGAGTTCTTGTAATGTCATGCTTATTCTTCCTTTAGGAGATTGCTATCATTTCCTAAGGCTTCAACTTGAGATCTGTTTTCCATCAGAGCATCCAGTTTAGCTTGAAGCACTGGCTCTTACACAGTTTATTTTTCCTGGGGCATTTTAACTTATCTTAGAGATAAAGGTTGGAAGTGCAGGAACAAAGAAATGAAGCATGCAAGGTCAGCTACTGCAGTAACAAGAGTTAGAACYGACCTGACACTGGCAGCACATCTTTTCATCCACATTTTTTTAGTTTCTCTACATTTGATTGTTTTACTCCAAAGAGAAACCAACTAGCTGGTTTTTTGGGTTTTTTTTTATTCTCCCTTTACACTTCAGTGTAAGATAGAAGCCGGTCTGTTTCTTACTGTCACTTGGCATGTACTTTTAACAGAGAAAATGCACCTTTTTTTTTTTTTACCCTTTTCTCTGCTTTTATTCATACCATGACTCTTCTCTTAAGTACTTTCCAAGATATGAAATCTAGGGATTTAGCAAAAGTGAAACTCAACCACTTTGTTTATCTGAATCTTGAAAGCTGTTGAACAAGAATGCCAGGACTAAATTGCTATGAGTTTGTATTATTATTACTRTGTTTTAAATTAACAGTTTGATTATGGATGTGAGGTGATTCAGTAGATTTAAAATYAAAGCAGGTTCTTTTGTTAAGTAAATAAAAAACAATGGAAGAACTACTTACCGTCTTTTCTGAACACCAAACTATGGTGTTGGACTGAGGGTGTCATATATTAAATGGCCTAATTACCCTGAAAGTTTTTCAGAATTACTTTAGGCTTTGTTGGATGACATTTTTCAGAGAGAGTGTGTGTTTGGAACAGCAGATGCTGACATCAATCCCAAGTGTTAGTGGGAAATGCCAGAGGTGCACCTTKCTTGCCTCTAGGTACCAATGCTGTAAAGTTCAATGCTGGTTCAGAGTCAGGGTTGCTTTGTGACCTCTGTAGCTGGTTTTATG